TTCTTTTCCACTCTTCTCCATACATACCACTTTTTTGGTATGTACTGAGACACCAGAAAATGCACAAACCCTCTGCAATGCACTCTGAGGCTGTAGTGCTGGATTAAAACACGGACCTTGTCCTCAGAAGGATAATAGCAATGGGAAGCACTCACTGCAATGCCCTGCATGACAGGTGCCCTGCCAAGCAATGAACGTACGTTACACATCATTCAGTTTTTACAGTATTCCGATGAGTTACATGTTGTAGCATTACTCTAAATGAGACTTAGGAGGATTTATCCAGCCAACCAGTTGTTAGAGGAAGAGTCTAAATCAGTGGACTCTGAGTTTGGGAATATTAAATAGCAATATTTAATATATGTAAAAACAAAGCCATTGCTTTTAATTTAATGCCACTTTTAAGGAGAAGACATATCAGCTAAAATGGACCTGTTGTTTCTCGTCTCCAATCTGTCCACATCCCGTAAAAAGTGGTTTTTGACAGTTCTGTATAAGAATCATATTGAGAAATCCAGGTTATTTCCAGTAAAGAAAGAAAGATAAGGAAAAAATGAATACAGAAACAACAGGAAGGGGAGAAATTGGAGAAAGAAGAAAAAGGAAAATGAATGAAAGGCTTGGAGTTTTTCTTGTAATTTGGGGCACCATACACTATTGCCCAGTAGGTGGTGCTAGAGGATACAGATTCCAAAACACAAAGGCCAGCATGGCCCATTTCCTCTGAAAACAAGAGAACTCACAACTAAACACTGGAAGTTGAGCAGTAATTGATTTGTTTTAGAGATGTTGGCTCTAAACACTATAACAGACACTGGACTGCCACGTTGTTGTGAGGAAATGCTGGAAGGCCAGCAGGTAATGAAATGTTTTATTCACGGCTTTTCCTCTGAGACAGCTTTTCATGGTCATTTGGCACATGTAAAGTAAAATCAGTTTTAGGAATTCTCAGCTCCACATAATAGTAAGTGAAATATTAGAAAGATCTGCAGAGGCCTACTGTCCCAACCTTTTTCTCAGACTGCAAGAAAGAATGAGATAAAATTTCAATATCATAATACTTTATTTAAAAATATATTGACAGGAAAAACTTCTCAATTTCTCAACCAAATAATACAGGCTATACATACCCAAGAAACTGAAGGTGTGGTAGAGCTAATAGCACTGAGACCAGTCCCCCCCAAAATACAAGTACATTAACATGTATACTCTCTGTGGCCCATGGATGAGATGAAATAGACTTTCTGAAATGTCTAAGAATGATCATGTGTCAGTTTAAGTCCAACAATATATTTAATTTAATTATAAAATCATGAGTACCCTCTTCTTCTTCTTCTTCTTCTTCTTCTTCTTTTTTTTTTTTTTTTTTTTGAACAGGCAGAGTTAGACAGTGAGAGAGAGAGAGAGAGAGAAAGGTCTTCTTCTGTTGGTTTATCCCCAAATGGCCGCCACAACCAGAGCTGCGCCAATCCGAAGCCAGGAGCCAGGTGCTTCTCCTGGTCTCCCATGTGGGTGCAGGGCCCAAGGACCTGGGCCATCCTCCACGGCCTTCCCGGGCCACAGCAGAGAGCTGGACTGGAAGAGGAGCAACCGGGACAGAATCCGGCACCCCAACTGGGACTAGAACCCAGGATGCCGGCGCCACAGGCGGAGGATTAGCCTAGTGAGCCGCGGGGCCGGCTAGGGATACCCTCTTCTAATGAAATAAATGCTGTAGTTCACAACATTCTACGTTAGGGTGACAGCAAGTGACAGACAACATCTATTTGGGTCACACCATGATTCCTCTACTCCAACCTGTGCTTTGCTTCTGTTCTTTAAGCAAACAAGATGTGTACCCTCTTGTGGTTAGGAATTCTCAGTTGGACACTTTTGATTTCTGCCTTGACAAGAGCTATACCCAGGATAGACAGGCATTGCACACACCTCCAGGAGAGGTTGGTTTCTCCTTTGAGATTTTGCCACTTGAGGAATCTCAGTGTTATGTCAGGAGGCCCTATATCAGGTCCCAGGCTTCATTGCCTGTCCCAATGGCTCACAATCCTTCAACTCACTCAGCAAGTGCAAGTCTTCCTTACCCTCGGATTGCTTCTTTATATCAAGTGAGGAGTATCAATCTGGATCCCCTTACTTTCCTACCACACTTCAAATTTTTTTGAAAAGATTGGTAAGTGGGGTTGAGATTTTTCAATGTGTTCTACCAAAATCAAAGGCTTTTCTGAATATCAAATCAGCTATCTTGACTTCATTTAAGGAAAACACATTGAAGCCAGTCTTTTGATCATATCATTGCACCAGAACTGTTATAATTTTCAGGTCAAGGTAAGAGCATGAGTTCCATACAGTTATCAAAATAACATACATTAAAATTTATTATGGAGCCGATGCTGTGGTGTGGTTTGGTAGGCCTTTGTCTCTAGTCCCGGCATTGCATATGGGTACCTGTTTGGGTGCCAGTTGGAGTCCTGACTGCTCCACTTCCAATCCATCTCCCTGCTGATGTGCGTTGGAGAGCAGCAGGAGATGGCCCAAATGCTTGGGACCCTATGCCCAATGGGAGAACCAGAAGAAGCTCCTGGCTCCTGGCTTTGGCCTGGCCTGGCCCTGGCTGTTGCAGCCATTTGGGGAGTAAACCAGCGGATGGAAGATCTTTCTCTGTCTCTTCTCTCTCTCTCTCTCTCTGAACCTCTACCTTTCAAATAAATAAATAAAAATGATTCTAATAACATAATATAAGGAAGCCAGGCACATGTTATAAACAATTCAGTCAAACAGCACAATATAAATATAGTAAAAAAAAGTCAATATGAGTTATAAATGTAGACAAAACCGATTTACCCACACTCTATTAAACCTCTACAAAACTGGACACAGAAAATCAATTGAAACCACTATAAGACACATCTGAATTTGTCCACCAGTTATCACCATTTCCAAAGACTTGTAACAAAGACAATGAACAGACCTAGAATCTGGTAACCCAAGGATTGTCAGACAATGTATAGTTTTCCACTGAAACACAAAATTTTTTCATACACTAATTTTGTCAAGGTCATTAATTATATCTACACTGAAAAATGCAATGTCAGTTCTCCGTAATCATATTCCAAGTCCTAAAAGCTTTTGATATAATTAATGACTCTCTACTTTTGGGAAAAATAATCTTTACTGTTCCCTTTGCTGATTCTTCTCTAGTTTCATGTTTTTCTCCATCTGTGCTCATTGTCTAGGTAACTTCTTTCAGTTCCAAGGGACTAACTACCAACTCTACTTATAAGTTATAAGGTTGTATGTTAAGTCTTAACTTCTCCTGGATATTCTTGACTATACTGATATTCAGGTTGCCATCTTAAATTTGTTTTGGAAACAAGCTTGATTTATTCTAATTTATACAACATCCTAGCACACACACACACACACACACACACATCTTCATACAGTTCCAATTTCTCACATCTGTAGTCATCTGCATGTCTTCCATTTGTACCTCCAGGCTCATTCTCCCTGATCTTTGACACCAAACGAAACTAAATGTAATTTCTCAGTAATCATCTTGCAATTGTGTATAGCTAATTACATTTGCATTTCTATCATTTTTCATGTGCATATGGAGCAATGTTTTAAAACAAGTGTTATATCCCGCATGATCTAGCCCCTACCATTTATCTTCTAATGTTCATTCACCCTTATTCTACTCCAGCCCTTCAGGCCTTCTTGCTCCTCCTTGAATACGCCTATCATATTACTCTCTCCTGAGTATATGTCCCTTAGGCATTCATTTGGTCTCTCCTTCACTACAACTCTTGCATAAATGTGAACTCAGCAGAGGAAATTTTCCTGAATGTCATATAAAAGGGCATTTTTTTTAACTTTTAGTTAATGAATATAAATTTCCAAAGTACAGCTTATGGATTACAATGGCTTTCCCCCCCATAACTTCCCTCCCACCCGCAACACTCCCCTTTCCCTCTCCCTCCCCCCTCCCATTCACATCAAGATTCATTTTCAATTATCTTTATATACAGATCGGTTTAGCATATGTTAAGTAAAGATTTCAACAGTTTGCACCCACATAGTAACACAAAGTGAAAAATACTGTTTGAGTACTAGTTATAGCATTAAATCACAATGTACAGCACATTAAAGACAGAGATCCTACATGAGGAGTAAGTGCACAGTGACTCCTGTTGTTGACTTTACAAATTGACACTCTTGTTTATGGCATCAGTAATCACCTGAGGCTCTTGTCATGAGTTGCCAAGGCTATGGAAGCCTTTTGAGTTCACCGACTCTGATCATATTTAGACAAGGTCATAGTCAAAGTGGAAGTCCTCTCCTCCCTTCAGAGAAAGGTACCTCCTTCTTTGATGGCCTGTTCTTTCCACTGGGATCTCACTCGCAGAGATCTTTCATTTAGTTTTTTTTGTTTGTTTGTTTGTTTGTTTGTTTTTTGCCAGAGTGTTTTGGCTTTCCATGAGAAGGGCATCTTTTTTTTTTTTTTTCGATTCTCTTAATATACAGAAGATCAGTTTAGTATACATTAAGTAAAGATTTCAACAGTTTGCTCCCACACAGAAACATAAAGTGAAAAATAATAGATGATTTTTTAAATGATGATGAAATCAGATCAGACCTATTGTCATGTTTAATCCCAGTGAGAGTCAAGTTGGGAATTGATCGTTTCTTTTTTCTTTTCTTTTCTTTTTTTTTTTTAACAGAAGATGTTTAGTATACATTAAGTAAAGATTTCAACAGTTTGCACCCCCATAGAAACACAAAGTGAAAAATACTGTTTGAGTACTCGTTATAGCATTAAATCTCAATGTACAGCACATTAAGGACAGAGATCCTACATGAGGAGTAAGTGCACAGTGACTCCTGTTGTTGACTTTACAAATTGACACTCCTGTTTATGGCATCAGTAATCTCCCTATGCTCCAGTCATGAGTTTCCAAGGCTATGGAAGCCTTTTGAGTTCTCCGACTCTTATCTTGTTTAGACAAGGTCATAGTCAAAGTGGAGGTTCTCTCCTCCCTTCAAAGAAAGGTACCTCGAGAAGGGCATCTTGACCTCCTCCACTGTCACTCTGTATCCTCCTTCCTCTACTTCTCATTATTTCATAGCATGACTTAACTGACATTTTTGTAGTGCATTCATAATTTATTTAAAGTCTTAGTTTCTGTGTTTCCTTCTTGGAATTTAAACTGTTAGAGCAAGAACTTTTCACGTTACTTCATAGCACTTACTACTACCACTTGACATAATTTGTGCATCTGTAGTTGATTACTATTTCTTTATAGGTTTATTTGCTCTGTTTCCTTCTTGGAATCTAAGTTCATGAAAGAAAGAACTGTATCCATTTTTTTTCTAGTGATGTTTTGGCTCTGTCTATAAAACTGCTTGCATCATTATCCATCCAATTAAACATGTGTGGAGTGAACTGACAGAACAAATAACTGAATTGTGAAATGATAAACAAGTTGCGTTTTGGCAACCTGAGTGATAAATGGTTAGTCCTAATTCTATTTGAGTCCCAACCATTTTTCAACAGGGAGCAAAGAAGTTCCCTAAATATAATCTCAAACGCAATCAAATATTTGAAAGGTGTTGATTGATTTCAATGTGACTTTAAAGCTGATACACAAAAACAATCAGAGTTGTGCAATGATTTCTCAGGAAACCAATGATGAGGAAACAAGACAGCTGGATAAACAAAGATGGATTCAAAGGGAATTTCAGAACATTAGAGAGGGAATTCAAGCTATATTTGGAGTCAAAGAGCACAATTGGGGCTGTATTGTGGTGTAATGGGTTACACTACCAGCTGCAACACTGGCATCCCATATGGCTCCCTGTTCAAGTCCCGGCTGCTCCACTTCCAATCCAGCTCTCTGCTAATGCACCTTGACAAAGCAATGGAAGATGACCCGAGTGTTTGGTCCCCTATCACCCACATAGGAGTATCAGAGGAAACTCCTGGCTCTTGGCTTTGGCCTGGCCCAGCTCTGGCCATTGAGGCTTTCTGGACAGTAAACTAGCAGATAAAAGATCTCTCTCTCTCTCTCTCTCTCTCTCTGCCTCTCCTTCTCTATCTGTAACTCTTTCATATAAATAAATAAAGGTTTTTAAAAATCTTTAAAAAAGGGTACAGTTATACTATTGATGTTATAAATAGAGTTTGGTTTTTCATAAAAATGCCTTGAACAAAGTGATTATCTAGTGAATTTCTAAGTTCCCCATTGGAAGGGAAATATTAATATATCATATTTGGGACTGGCGCTGTGGCGCAGTGGGTGAAAGGCCTGGCCTGAAGTGCCGGCATCCCTTATGGGTGCTGGTTCTGGTCCCAGCTGCCCCTCTTCCGATCCAGCTCTCTGCTAAGGCCTGGCATAGCTGGAAGATAGCCCAAGTCCTTGGGCCCCTGCACCCACGTGGGAGACCTGGAAGAAGCTCCTGGCTCCTGGCTTCAGATCAGCACAGCTCTGGCTGTTGCGGCCATCTGGGGAGTGAACCAACGGATGGAAGAGCTCTCTTTTTGTCTCTACCTCTCTGTAACTTTGTCTTTGAAATAAATAAAAATAAATCTTTATAAATATATATATATCATATTTATATTATGCAAACAATAAAACAAGTTTCCCATGTCATTCTTTTTACAAAACTGCTTTGCTTTAATTTTACATTTGAATTCCCCAATACCTTGACTCTATCAGTGTCTTTTTTTTTTTAATTTTTTTTTTATTTTGACAGGCAGAGTGGACAGTGAGAGAGAGAGAGAGACAGAGAGAAAGGTCTTCCTTTTGCTGTTGGTTCACCCTCCAATGGCCACTTCGGCCGGTGCACTGCGCTGATCAGATGGCAGGAGCCAGGTACTTATCCTGGTCTCCCATGGGGTGCAGGGCCCAAGCACTTGGGTCATCCTCCACTGCACTCCCAGGCCACAGCAGAGAGCTGGCCTGGAAGAGGGGCAACAGGGACAGAATCCAGCGCCCCGACCGGGACTAGAACCCGATGTGCTGGCGCCGCAAGGCGGAGGATTAGCCTAGTGAGCTGCGGCGCTGGCCTCTATCAGTGTCTCTTAAAATTCAACTTTTTAATTAAGCAATCTCTGAATTATGCTATACCCCTTTGATAACATTTCAGCGACTATCTTATATTCAATTCCATCTCATTAAACTGTTTTTCATTATATTGTCATGACAGCTATGGAGAGTACCTTGATGTTTTCCTGAGGATTATCAGTATAAGAATGATCTGGAAAAACCAAATGCAAATGTTTGCGTCCATCTCATTTGATATACAAATAAAAATAATGTCTACTTAAGCCTGCCAAAATAAATAATTGGGAGAAATTACTGTGCTCAAGAAGGAAAAAACAGCTGATGAATGCTTCCGACGTGGCCTGTGCCAGGAGTTCAAATAATGACTCCCAGGCAGTATCCGCTATGTCTCCATGTCTAGATTCTATTTTCCTTCATGCTGAGTGCCTTTTTACACATCTCATCACAAGATGTTTGCCAAAATCTCTGTTCAAGTTCCAAGAGAAAAGAGTATCTCTACCCATTAGCTCCTGTAAAAGTGCTAGAATTAAATCTAATTGGGCTCCTTACGTGAAATCAGTAGTTTTTTCTCTCTGACTTGGTAATAATAAGATTGAAACTAAAGTGGAAATTAATTCCCATTTTAATAGGGACAAAACACAAAAATTCTTTGACCTCAATATAGTAAGAGCAGTATAAAATTTATGAAATACAGGCCAGCGCCACGGCTCAACAGGCTAATCCTCCACATAGCGGCACCGGCACACTGGGTTCTAGTCCCGGTCGGGACACCGGATTCTGTCCCGGTTGCCCCTCTTCCAGGCCAGCTCTCTGCTGTGGCCCGGGAAGGCAGTGGAGGATGGCCCAAGTGCTTGGGCCCTGCACCCCATGGGAGACCAGGAGAAGCACCTGGTTTCGGATCAACACAGCGCGCCGGCCGCGGTGGCCATTGGAGGGTGAATCAACGGCAAGGGAAGACCTTTCTCTCTCTCTCTCTCACTGTCCACTCTGCCTGTCCAAAAAAAAAAAAAAAAAGAGTTTGACACTATCATTTAAAAAAAAAGATTTATGAAATACAAATGAAGTGCATAACATAATGATAACTATCATAGGAGTGGCAGTACTTTGAGGATTTATATATAAATGCTATGTAACTCAAATTACAACTTCAATTTTCTATGGCGCTAGATAATTTGATTCTAGAATGTACATGGAAGTGTAAACCTCCAAAAATAGCAGAAAAATTTATAAATACTGAGTATTATAAAGGGTAGAGGCTGGTGCTATGGTTTAGTGGGTAAAGCTACCTCCTGCAGTGCCAGCATCCCACATGCCCACCGATTCAAGTCCTGGCTGCCTTACTTCTGATCCAGCTCTCTGCTATGGCCTGGGAAAGCAGTGTAGGATGGCCCAAGTCCTTGGGGCCCCTGTGCCCACATGGGAGACCCAGGGGAATCTCCTGGCTCCTGGATTCAGATTGGCTCAGCTCTGGCCATTGCAGTCATCTGCAAAGTCAACCAGTGGATGGAAGACCTCTCTGTCTCTCTCTCTTTCTCTCTCTCTCTCTTTGCTTCTGCCTTTCAAATAAATAAATAAATCTTAAAAAAAGGAAAAGGGCAAATGAGACTTCCAGATACCAAGATAACCATAAATTCCCTATAATCAAAAGTGTTTGGGGTCAAGCATTTGACCTAGCAGTTAAGATGCTGGTTAAAGACAACTATGCCCCATATCAGAAGGCTGGGTTTGAAACCGCATTCCGAACCTCAGCTTCCTGCCAGTACAGACTTAGGAGGCAATGGTGATAACCCAAGTGACTGGGCTCCTACCAGTATTGAGTTCTTGGCTCCTGAATTTGGCTTGGCCCAGTTCAATTCACCATGGCAGGTATTTGTGGGAGTGAACTAGTAGATGGCAGGTCTCTTTCTCTTTCTGTCTCTCAAAATTTTAAAAGATATATGATATTAGAATATATAAATATGTATGTTAATCATGGCCAAGAACCCATGAAAAAATCCAACAGATGAGTAATTTTAATCTAATTTAGTGAGAAAGAGTGGTGATATGGTTGATTAACTATCTAGAAGAAAAGATTCTTACTCTTCCCCGCCCCCTTAAAGAAAAATATTGGAATGGAGGTCTTCCTAAATGTGACAAGACTCTCAGAAAGCATAAAATAAAAGTTAGATAAATTTGGATTTCTTAAAGTTACATATTTTTGCATGGCAAAAGATACCATGAGCAAAGGGAAGACATAATTTCAAAGCTGTTTCTACAAATAAAGTACAGAAAGATTCATCTTTTTCTTACAGACTAGTTATTGAAAGATCATTGTGTGTAAAAGCCACCTGTTGAAATCACGGGCTGTCCTATCTGCATACACAACAAAAAGAGATACTGCAAATTTTCAGTCAAATTATTAGAAGAATTTGACAATTAAAACTTAGGTTTTTGTTACCCAGAAGTACCTTTCTAATGAAATGATACTTCTAAAAAGTAAGAAAATCATTCTAATTCTTTATTTTAAAAATAAAAAGTATTATGCAGAATGGTATTAGTTGAAAAATATATAGAGCAAAATAGAGCCTGCGCCACGGCTCACTAGGCTAATCCTCCGCCTGCGGCGCCAGCACACAGGGTTCTAGTCCCTGTCGGGGCACCGGTTCTGTCCCAGTTGCCCCTCTTCCAGGCCAGCTCTCTGCTGTGGCCAGGGAGTGCAGTGGAGGATGGCCCAAGTGCTTGGGCCCTGCACCCCATGGGAGACCAGGAGAAGTACCTGGCTCCTGCCATCGGATCAGCGCAGTGCGCCGGCCACAGCGCGCTGGCTGCGGCGGCCATTGGAGGGTGAACCAACGGCAAAGGAAGACTTCCTCTCTGTCTCTCTCTCTCACTGTCCACTCTGCCTGTCAAAAAATAAAAAAAAAAAATAAAAATAAAAAAATAAAATATAGAGCAAAATAGAGCTAAGAAAACACAGAGGCAAAGGAAAATCATGAAAAGAACCTC